GGAAAGCAAAGGTTGCTTTGGTCCGTGGTTGACACTCTATCCGCCGCCTGGGGATGGGCCACGTTGACTCACGACTAACCGGCTCAAGTCCTCATATGAGAGAGATTCGTGGCACTCCGCATGTCTCTCCGAATGCTCCAGTTATGTTTATCCAAGTCGGAAAATCAACATGTTGAACGAGTTAGCTCCGGAACTGAGCAGAAGGAAACGAGCGGCTTCGGGAGCTTTCAAGAGCATCGAGGATGTAGTGAAGAGGAAAAAAACACCCGACCCCGTGCCCACCTTTTCAACTCCACGGTACTTCCCAGCCTAACTTATTCGTGCAAAACTTAGTCGCTCCATAAGCAGGATGAAAGACCACTCAACGTTATTGAACGCGCAGTCGAAAGCGCGATGCTAGGAGAATACCGTTTTACACAAGTAAGGGAAGTTATCCGAAGTTCCGACCTACGTCAAGGATAAAAAATTAAAATGCGGTTTTGTCCGCCAAACAGTAGAAGATAAGATGGGGCCGGATACGTAATGTGTATGAATGACAACCGATGGATAAGAGCCGTTAGTGACTTCAATCCCCGGTATGTCAAACGTACTTCAGAAAAACCACTGAGCCGATGGTTAGAGCTTTTCACGAAAAGCCTACAAGAAAGATGATGCTCGATTAGTCACTCGAGCGAGCTGAACTCACTGGGCTACTCTTGTACGCAACAGGTAAAGATGGAAGATTTACTAGCGCCCGCTCGAGTCACTCGACGATCAAGGGGCTACAGGTTATACAGGTGGCAGTTGAATAGAAATGGCCTAATATTTTATTTACAGAGGCCTTCACTTTGTTCACTTTGCAGCATTGCATCCTTTTTTAAAACAGCTCAAAAGGATTTGAAAGCCTTTTAGTTTTCAATGACGGTTATCTTTCTGAATTTCATTAGAACGATAGAGTTGAGCGGTTGTCGTGTCATTCAACCGAAACCAAGCTCATAGTCAGACAGAAGAATGGAAACATTTTTAATTTGGAATGTTCGGTGAAGATGATATAGTACTGTGTTGCCTACTTAGGGTGTTAGTGCTGTGATGTATTCGATTTTAAAAAATTGACAATACAATTCCTAAGAAGATATTCTGTTAATAAATAAATAAGAAACAAGACTCTCATAAAGGTGTCAAATTTCGTCATTTAGTTTGACACATGCTGCTAGAAAATGTGAAGTGGTTACCAATCGAAAAGAAGATGCCTCTTAAGCATAACTAGTAACAAGAATAGTAAACACCTCTCAACGGTTTACCGCCTTATCGTGGCTTGGAGGTGTTCCAGGGTATCGGGCTACGATGTACGGTGGAGAGATTCATCCTCCTAGTAGGGTTTCCCAAAATGAGAAAGAGTCTGGTCTTTCCATCAAGAAGACTAGCTATGAGTAAGCCACTAACATGATCCGTCACCGTCCTGGTACCAAACTAGTCGATGGTGGCGAATCTCCCTCTAATCCACAACAGCGGCGACCGCCTGCGGTGGCGAAGGCCTGGAATAAACTTTGGCCAGGGTGTCCTCAGAATCCTAGAAAACCACGATGGCTTAACTAAAAATTCTCCGAAAAATAGAGATTATGATGGAGCCCGCACAACCTGTGAGGTCGGATCATTCAAGTACAAAGTAAGTAATAGTAAACAATTACTTGTAATACGCGTGGTGAAGCATATGTAGGCAAAGATACGGCGTCCAACTCATCTTCCTGAACATCCTTTTCCTTTCTTCCTTGTTTTTTTGCTTTATTTTTTCTACAATATTTTTTAAGTATTAAATGCAGCAGTCGCATATTGCATATATATATATATATGTATATATATATATATATATATATATATATATCCTCCTAACTGTTTACCACCTCACCGTGGCTGAAAGGTGTTTCCGAGTGTCAGGATCCGATGTAGAGCGAGGATTTCACACCCTGGCAGGGTCTTTCAAGTTGAGAAGGAGTCCGGCGTTTCCATCAGAAAGCCCAGCTAAGAGTAAACCACTACCATGATCAGTCAGCTTCTTGGTGCTAAACTAGTCGCATGGTGGCAAATTTCCCTGTAATCCACAAGAGCGGCGACTGCTTGTGGTGGTGATGACTTAGGGTAGACTTTAGCTAAACTGATCTCAGGACTCTAGAAAAACACAGTGGCTAAACCAGTAAAACTTCGAAAAGTGGGGAATGTACCAGAGCCCGCACAACCAGCGAGGGTGGGCCGTCTATGTATCCATGTATGTTTATTCTACATGAGCCACCAATGCATGCATTACGTGGACTCCGTCACTTCTTGCAACAGATTCGTTTGCCTTCGAATTCATCGTCCAGAATGGTCTTCGAATATTTTGCGAGTTGTTTCGGCTGCCGCAAGAGGACTTCGTGTTTTTGTGAACGTCGTGGAATACTGCTCTCATCTGTTTCTTGACGATGGTCGGAGTAAGATCTTCTCAAGTGGATTTGAGGGGACAGGAGCAAACTTAAGCCAGACCGTTTTCTGTGCTCCAGGAAACCAAAATATCTTAACTAGAAAGTCTCCGGAGAATGGAAATTATGCTGGGGTCCACACAACCAGTGAAGACGGGTCATCCAAGTATCCGAGTATATACGTATAGTATATGCATATATATATATATATATATATGTACATATATTGTGATCACTATCACAGAAAGTTCAGCAGCACTAATCATTCCATGGGAGATATGATGCATTCGACTCATTCGCACTTTTGTAGGGTTGAATGAATGCATATATACATCACACAATGACTTTCGGCAGCCTATCGATCTATAAAGTCCGTGTTCTCACCCACACATTATATATATATATATATATGTACGTATACATATACATATATATATGTATATATACACATATATATCTGTTTATACATATATACATATATATATATATATGTATATATTCTTACCAGCTGCCCTCGTTTCGCTGAAGCGAGGTTGGCATAGATGTTCTCATTGTTTTTGCTGTTGCCGTTGTTCTATGGCTGATTTTTCAAAGTGGCGCCCTGTAGCACACATAAAGAATCGATCCCTGTTCCTATGGCCCACCAGCGTTCTATCCCTCCGGGGTCGGCAAATTGCTAGCAGGCGAGGATGGTAACATTGGCTCGATGAATCGGTAGGACAGCGCAAGACATTGTAAAGACCAGATATGCATTCGATCACCTCCAAACGATGCTTGGTGAAGTGGAATGCACTGAGTATTCCTCAGAAAGTGATCAACGCCGATAGTTTTACCTTTTTATGTTTTATTTTTGTGATCATCTTTTTACATCTGCTGTGCAGACACTGCACTTTCATTTCACTAATGTCCTCATATCTGTCATTTTTTAGACCTGTGTTCGACTTCTGCTTAGCACTTCCCTTTAGTCACCAATGTCCTTTAACGCTGGCAGAGTTGATACTCGCTGGAGTTTTCCAAGAGTTAGTCTAGAGCGTCCACACTTGGATTGCAGGCAGCGAACCTTCCCTGGGCAAGTCTGGCACCAATCTCTACACCGGAAGGATGAGAAGCTTGGTGAGCCAGCGCGGGGTGGAACTAGCATTGTGTACAATGGGCGGCACCACTACCACTGCATTATCTACTCCCTTAAGCCGTCAATGACACATTTTATTCAATAATCGTTGACGTCTCAGCGTTTTCCTTTTTTCGGCACCTGCAAAGGTCAAAGTGACACGCAGACTGCTCAAGCGGACACTTTAATAACTTAAGCAAATCTCAGCTCATCTCGTGAACAGCCACATGTTCCTGGATCGTCTGCACAACGCGGCTACAAATAGTGCGTACATGGCAGAGCTCTTCGACGATAAAAGGATAAAGCACTCGGCGTTGATCAATCCTTAAGGGACGCTCTATTCATTCGACTTCATTAAGCATCATTTAGAGGAGACTGAATGCATACCTGGCCTTTACAAGGACTCGCAGTGGCTTACCAATGTATTCAGCCAGTGCTGCTATCCTTTCAGACTGGTTTTTTAGCAATTTTCCGACCTCGAATGGATGACACGTTTGGTGGACCATGGGCGCGGATATCGATTCCACGTGTGTGCTGCAGGGCAAATCCGACCATTGCGCCACATGCGCGCTTCGACGATATCGACCTTTATATAAACGTATCGAATCGCTCTCCAGTTAGTAAGTTATGTGTAAGGTTACTATAAAGCAAAAATGAGCTCCAAACACATATGCCTTCGAAACTCGAACTCGGCAGAAGTGATGCCAACGCTTACAAAAGCTCTAAAATTTTAGCTAGTTCACAGCTCTTTATACGACCATCTGTGTAAAACGAAATTGCATAAGCTGACCTAACTGTAGTGAGGTGGACGGCATGAGTTCGGTTGCGGTGTATCCGAGTTCTTGTAAAGCGTGAGGGGACGAATACGTTGGCGAAACGGGTAGACCTCTCTGCGCCCGCTTTAAAAAAAACACCTACTCGATAGACCTAAATTGAAACAAAATTCCACTAGACATGCATAGAGCACAAAGGCACAGCGGAAAAGATTTTTAAGTAAAAGCCACTATCCTCGCACAGAATTCATAAAATTGCGCCCAGCACGCTCTCACTTTTTCGATTGTGCAAAACGTTTTGCTTTAACGCATGAATTGGGATCTTGGGAGGTTCATAAGTCAAATGAAGTGAAGCTTCGAGCATTCTAAACCGAGCAAGTGAGATGAAATTTAATATCGATGACTAAGAGTTAAGTATACTGGAGGGTATGGTAGCCCAGCAACTCTGCTCTAAATCATCTTAAATTCCACTTACAGCAGCAGAAACCAATACCACAATAGCAGGTAATTTCTACAATTGGAAGTATTTTACTTCACCGTCTTAGTGGCAGCTGATCGACAGAAAGAGGGAAATATTCCACTCGAACTTATTACTAATATTTAACTGCAGACGACAACAACAAATCGTGATAATTACCTTCAAGAGACCTGTGAGAATATCTCTTTAATCGCTTTATATTGTAGAATTGGTTGATTTGCGATATCAAAATCACCGATGTGGTCAGTTGTAAAGTGACCAGCGCACCACTGAAGACGAACACTGTCAATACTAGGACTATAGAAGTGCAACACACGCAGTTATTCATAGAGAAAACCTGAAAAAAGACGGTCATAAATTAAATATAGACAAAACGATTTATAAGTAATATACGACTAAGAATGAGGGCACAAACCATGCTCAACAACAAATATTCTCAGTATAACATCTCAAACACTACATTCTCGTAATGGTACCCATTCCATGTCTACCATCCATCTACCCACGTTCAGCTATCATTTATCAAAGTCATCATAGAATTCTGTTTGTCGCATGGTAAGCGAAATATGGCAGTTTCCATAGTAGGCTCATCATTTTACAAACGCTTTCTGACGGTGCGGCAGCCATCAGTATCTCATTTGGTTCTGCCGGAAAACTGGGTAGTTACGTACTTCCCAAACAAAACAGATGTTAAGTATACCTTTTAGATAAAGACTTCTTCCATATGTTTCAATTTAATTAATTAGTTAATTGCATGGTTTTTCTCGAGTCACATCATAGCTCCAAAAAATGTGTGGAAGCACTCCTCATGAGACCATAAAAACTCAGCATTCAGCGCAAATAATCAGTACTTGTTATAACCAACTCGCCTTGAAATATCATACGGGTTAGCTGCTCAAAATGAGGAAAGATGGTAGAGAACTATTAGGTTAAGTCATACTCAAGCTGACACAAAGGTGATCAAGAATTCTTATACAAAACTTATGGCTACGTCCCGTGCACCTAGTAGCCGAAGGAGAGGTTGCACTTCCTTTTTTCAAGCCGCTCAGAAGTAAGACAAGTTGTTTAAAAAATGCTTGCTCATAGCCGAAAAAGTTCAATTCGACAAGGAGCGAGGAATAGTGAGCTCTTCTTTCACTGTGCACAAATTGTTGTCACAAAGGAGCTCAAATAAAATCCAGAGAAACTGGATTACTGTCAAGTACTCTCTGCTAAATAATGCGACATTCGCATTGAGTTTGAGGAGTTGATGTTCGATTTGAACGAAAATTAGGACAATTTTATTGAAAATATCCTTTGGAGTGACGAAGTGTTATTTAACAGCGGTGACCTCGTAAACTGTCACAACAGCCACTGCTGATCAGAAGAAACCCTCGTATTATATCAGAAAAATCCACATGAGTGGCGGGTGAAATCAGTTGGTGCGGTTTTCTGGTGACTTGCCAAGTTGGTAACAAACGCTAATGTCCATATAGAGTCTTAAATAGTACATGCTATACGCTCTTTCCCACAATAATTTTTTGTCAAAATTGTGGTGAGGAAATAAATTGTAGAAAACTGAAAACGGGGAGTTTTCAATCACTCCATAAAAGGAGTCTTGTAATTAGTTGACCGACAGCTCAAGAAGGACTTGAAAAGGGTAAAAATGGTGAAACTATCGGCGTTGACCAATCCCTGAGAGATGCTCCATACATTCGACCTCGTTGAGGATCGTTTTAGAGCCATTGAATCCTTATCTGGCCTATACAATGACTCGCGGTGGCCTACCGATGTATCGAGTCAGTGCTGTTATCCTCCCAGACAAGTCTGGCACCAATTTGCCGACTCCGGAGTGACGGAAGGCTTAGTGGGCCATGGGCGCTGGGATCGATTCCATGTGTGTGTTGCAAAGCGCCTCCAACCACTGCACCACAAGCGGCAGAGGAAATAGTGATCCATTTGCCAGCATCAATTGTTTATAATCGTTCATTTTCTGGGTATAAAGTAGTGTCGACGATTTAGAAAGTGGAGTGTATAACGTGCATAGGTATTAAACTGACTGAAGCTGATATGAAGAGGTGCTGCAGCGCAGTGGTGAGAGGGCGTCTTTAATATACACGTGCTCGATCGTTCGATGTTTCGAAGTCTTCAAGCAAATGGAGAGCTCAGGCTAATTGTCGCCAGACTTCTCTGGAGATATATCTATGTATGTATACTCTAAACATGCATTCAATCAGCTCTGTTATACTTACTGAAGTTGAATACATAGAGCCTCCTGAAGGTCTTATCAGTTTCGAACATTGAACCCTTTCATTATGTAGATTTGATACTCTAATAACGGGAAAAAAAGATGGCAAATCGATAACTACAGGACAATAACGTAAATTTCACTCATCACTGGAAGCATTATATCAAAATAGTCGATTGTGAATGAGGATATGTTTTTAACGGTATACATGATATGCTCACATAACTAAGCGAAGACAAACTGATCGAGAAACAGGCAAAGAAGAACAAACTTATAGGACACATAATGAGTAGACCGTACTAGCGCAGATCGAAAAGTGAAATGGTGAAGGCGTCCAACACTTTAAATCAATGTTATAACCTCTACCAGATGCACAACAAAAAAGAAGGCTCAGGAAAGTTAACACTGTTTCAGCATGTTCATCACCTCTCCATATTTTCGGTTCTCTTTATTCGTTTAATACAAACAGATTAAACGCATCTTTGATGTTCACTGCAATAATTGTCGCAAACTAAAGGAAGTATTACGGTAAAGAAGAGTGCGAGTCGGAAAGAGACAAATTTGGAAGAGTAGGAAGATAGATGGACAGTACGAGAATATTTTTCGGTAATACGGACGGCTTGAAAGGGCACACAGTCAAATATTTTAAAAACTCCCAAGAACGACAGTAATACTATAGAGTACACCTAATGATCACTGAACACAGCATAGGACAATGGGCGAAAAGTTTGCGTGTGATATTTCATTGTAACCACGGTAGACGATCTTACTTAATACTTGTTATTTGAATGGCCCGTCCTCACTGGTTTTGCGAGCCCCAGCACAATCACCATTTAACTGAGACTTGCTGGCTGAGTCACTGTGGTTCCCTGCAGTCCCGAAGCCTGGCCAAAGTGTGCCCTAGATCTTCACCACCAAGGGCAGTCGCAACCCTCGTGGATCAGAGAGAGATTTACCACCATGCGACTTTGATACCAGGCCGGTGGTGGATTCTGGTATTGGTTTACTTCTAGTTAGGCTTCCTGATGGAAACGGCGGACTCCATATCAGCTTGGGAGAGCCTGCCAGGGGTGAATCCCCCGCTGTACATCGCAGTCCGACACCCAGGAACACCTCCCAGCCACGATGAGGCGGTGAACCGTTGGGAGGAGTAGACGATCTACTATTTGGTAATTGCAAATGATCTAATTGCAACTGCAGTTGTAATCAGTGTTGTAAGGAGCAAAAAATTGAACGATTACATTAAAACAGCAGCGAAGAAACCAAATAACAAAACCGATAATGGTTGAGTGAATTCGCTGGAGTGTTGCACTGTCATTGAGCTGTAGGTCAATAATAGCAAGAGTTGTTATTTTCATAAGAATCATTGTCGACCTGGAGGAATCTCAAGGCAAGGCAGAAAATTTGGTACTGGTTCACAAACGCCTATGAAACTAGTGGTAACGACCTGATAACATCCCAGTACGATAATCTCAGATTTCCAGGAGAATCACGCTCAATCAGTGAAGACACATATTAGTGAAGACAGAAATTGGCAGTCAAATACAAACCCGCCGGCCACCTTTATTGATGACATTTAGAGCTCAATAAAAAAAAGAATTGAATAAGTACTGAGACTTGCACAACATGTGAAAAGTGTTCACTTAAGTATCTAAGCAAGTATTGGCTGGATTCATTGATTTATGTTGAGCGTCCACCATCGCAAATGTACGAAAGATGATCACTCGTTACAATCAATGTGGTATCACTGCGAAGTGGTAAAGAAGAAGACAGGAAGATACTAAGGAAAGAGAGAGAGAGAGAGAGAGCCGGAAGGTCGAATCGATCATAGCCTTTGGATAGCACAATGAAGTAACCCAGATCGACGCCCAAGAATCCTCGTAGTTAGGAAAAAGCTACGTAAAGCAAGGAGTTCCGTGGAGCAGAGTGTAACGCGCTCCTCCTGGAAAGAGTAATCGTTGTTTGATCTGGCCTGGAGTCCAAGTTCTGCGAGTATGTCAGCATCATTGCGGTTGTATTTCAGATAATGCTCTGCCGAGAAAGGTTACAGTAGGCAGTAAAAAAAGGTTACCATTGTGATTGCTTTAATGTTTACTGTCACCATCCGAGAACGAACACCCACATTTGCTGCAAATGCTTTGTTCTACGCGGTTGTCCATGTCTGTATCGCTGGCGACGAATTGTTTGCTAGCGATGACTGACGCTATAATACTATTTAGAACAACGACCATCTCTTTAGTCGTCAAGAGAATCAACGTGATAATAACTTTATTTTGGTGAGTTGTACTGCAACCTTTTTCCATCGTTATTGTTTCATGAAAAAGGGAAGATTTGGTGATGCTTACTGGGAAACTAATCACCTTTGAGCACATCAGCACTTATTCCACCTTACATCCAGGCGTGTTGTCTCGTCTTCAACTTTCGAACATGACGAAACCATACATATTGCTAAAGAACGTCTCGTCAAGTAAGAGAACTAGTCATTGAACGTTTATGAAAAATGCGAACAAATCCTGAGAAATGATTTTTTTAAATCAAGTCATTTTATTGATTTATGCTTATTTAGTGCATTAACTGTCAGTAGTAGGCAGTAGCTGTTGCCTATCCAGCAGTAGCACAAGCGGCGGTTGCTATAACTCCAGCGTTCAGTGCTCTACTTTCTGTTGATTCTCTTTTCAGCACGCCAACATATGCAGATGCTCTCACCGCAGCGGCAACGTTTGCTGCTACTCCTGTGGCTTACTGCTCAGGCTTTTCTACTGGCATTCCAAAATCCTGCCTATTCACCAGTCTACCAGGCATCAGAAAAGCAGCTTAGTGTGGTTTTATCCTTGGTAAGTTTTTTTTTGTTCCATCTTGCCTAGGAAATAAAAAATTCTCGATGATGACTTAGTAAAAACAGTAGTACAAGACGTGTTTATCTTACAAGTTACATTGGTAGTGGAACACGATGAACGCAAAAGAGGGATGTAATAGGAAAGGGTAAATTGCTGATACGACATAGTAGTGATAAGTCATATATTCAATAATTGTGAATAATATCTTTAGTCTGTCATAACTAGCTACTAGGTTCAATTCATTCATCACGAGGAATAACAGCAACATTACGTAGTACAATCGCAAGGCGTAGTAATATTTCGAAACCGACCTTCCCTAAACCTCGGTGTGACTAATCAATATGTATTCTTTCTTGATAAGCTTGCACGAGGTTGATAAATATATTTATTTTCGGCTAACGTTTCGACGCAACGTCGAAGCGAACAACAAGCATGGACCATCGACTCGGATCACCGGCTCTGAGGAAGACGAAAACGTCGAAACGTTAGCCGAAAATAAATATATTTATCAACCTCGTGCAAGCTTATCAAGAAAGAATACAATCGCAAGGTTTGCAGTAGATGATGCCTATAAACTTATGACCCCATAAATTGACGAATAATTCGAATAGGTGCTAATAAACCCCTTTCGTCCCCATCGGATGCTGTAGTCGTAGAAATGAGACGAAGACCATTACACCTTGGTCCGACCGTGTTTTTCCTTTGTTTTGGTCGGGAGGTAGCCACGGATACCTCACCGGAGTCTACCTTGGAATAAGACTACTCTTAGCTTCATCATCGGATAAAATGTCCTTGGATTGGGATGCTTTTCCAGAGATAAACTACTGCTTTGAATCGTAGTTCTGGAATCTAATAATCACTACTGTCATACAAAAAAAGCCCAGGACTACTCAGTCCAGTAGTCCTCGAAGCGCGACGGATTGTAGTGTGGACAGCTGAGCGGCATGCTATTATGGTGGCGTTGCTCACAAGAAGACCACAGATGATCAGTGATGTTATTGTATACCACAATAAAAGGTTCATTAGATATGTTCTTTATCTCGAAGAACGAATTCGGGAGCGCTTCTGTCATGATAGGAAGCTTTTCACAATGCCTCGGAGTAGCACTGTTCTGCATTATTTATTCGCATTGATTTAAATGACGTAACCTCACATGTTATGAGAATCCCAACACTTCCTTCATTCGGCTCGTTATCATTCATTTATCATCAGCGAAGGCCAACAGATTTGTACACGGGTTCTCCTTCCAGTTGAAGATTTTTGTTCTTCATGAATTCCATTGAATGCCAGTCTACCGAATTTTGCTGGATTCCTGAAATAACTCGACTTTCTATAAACCTCGGCATAGATAGTTGATATATTTATTTATGTGATCTTATAAACTGATCTTCTTAAGCTGACGCGAGGTTGGTACAAATCCTCGTTGTCCTTTAAGCTGATTGCCATTTCCAATGGCTACCAAGTAGAAGCCACTCGGGTTAGAAAAAAACGTTGGGTAGTTTTCCAAAATAATATTTCAGACGAAAGTAGGATCCCCTTTAAGCTGCCCTTCATATCAAATGAAGTAAGTCACGCCATTAAAAAGTGCTTAAGAAAAAGTGGTCTTGAAAATTATGTAACGATTATTGACATTCCACCCAATGCCCTGCGCCGCCAGTTAGTTCGAAACCGTCTCTATGATCGTCTGTGCAGCTCAGAAAACTGTATGATCTGTCCCAACGGGAGAGACGGGGATTGCATGAGTTTAGGTATAATATACTTGATCTCATGTAATGCATGCGGCGAGGAATATATCGGGGAAACGGGTAGACACACTTTGTGTCCGCATAAAAGAACATCTAGATGGGAAAGCTAAAATCCGTTTAAACACCTCTCTAGGTACGCATAGGACACAAAAGCAAAACGGCGATGATTTTGAAGTGACTGTACGGATCCTAGCGCAGAAATCAAAAACAACAACGCGCAAAACTCTTGAGGCGCTTTGGATAAATTTCAAAATTCCAAAGATGAACCGGAAGGACGAATGCCTCACTATCACGCGTGACCTGGCGCCCTATTTCAAAATGATATTTTGACCCCGGGGCGTGTCTTGCTCGCGACTCCACGTGAACTACGTGTGGGCCAGTCCCACACGTAACATCACGATGAGTGGCCTTTCTGTTCAATATGGCGTCTATTTGAAAGTTTGATCTTCATTAATACTTCAGCCTTCTTTTCCACCGAATAATAAAAAGTATTCTAACATAAAATATGTCCATGCTCTGAGGAAGACGAAATCGCCGAAACGTTAGCCATCGATCAATGACATCAAAAGCAACGACAACGACAACGATGCTTTGTACCAATCTCGCGTCAGCTTAAGAAGATCAGTTTATAAGACCACATAAATAAATTCCTGAAATAGTTCTAATATGGTGCTGCTGAATTTTTTCCACAAACTCTCGCCTTCCTTTGTTAATCGAAGAGAGCTTTTCCGAACACCAACGAAGAATACTGTGTATTCGGGGGATGAGTGTAAGGTGAGATATGAGGTGCGTGTATTCCACGACATCTCTAACCACTGCGCTTCATTCTCCTCTCGCACATTGTAGAACTTCAGATATTTTTTTTGAATTTTACCAGCACCAAAAAAAAACGCTGAGGCAGAGCAGATTTTTCAGAATTTTCGAACTACCATTTAATCTACTCGAAATATAAGCTCATATAAAAGTAATCTTCTTCTTTGTTTTATAGATAGTCTTCGGATGTAGGCCACGTCTGTGCACCGTCAAAGATGAACTGTTAAATAGAGAGTCAGAGCATGTAAAATTTATGAGAGGAAAACCAATCGTGAGCTGGCTTCTATTTATAAATATCCAAATGAAGAGAAAGTGGTTACATAACAAAATAAGATCGAGAACCACGTACTAAAAATATACTGGTGCACTACTTCTACTCTCATGCTTCACACACAAAGAGAACCACTTATTGAGAACATGTACCGAAAGGATACAAATTTGAGAGCTGAAGAGGAAAAGAAGGAATCGCCAAACTTGGTACGAAGGGTGGCTACAGTGTCTACGAAGCAGAAGATATTCTGCTCAGATTTAAAGAAGGGATCATTCCCCAAAATAGTGCTTCAAATTTAACCTAAGTAAGGTCCTTATCAAGCAACCCTTCAATGATGAGATTCAAAGAAAATCGGTTTTCTGAGTGTATTAAGACAACAAATGAACAGCAACTCTAAGTAATTGGTTAAATTAGGATGTCAAATACACGGCATCAACACCTCCTACCTGATGTCCAGATTTTTTCTTACTGAAGATACTAGAAGAGATATATGATGCTCAGCCGGTCTCTAGAACTAGCAGACCCATTGGGCTAGTCATGCCTGCCGCAGGAAAAAGCGGAAGACTTTAGTGGTGGCACAAAGTTCAGTCGACGATAAGCGAGGAGTACCAGTAATACAAATGAGACGAGAAGGCAAAGTGGCTTACGTAGTCGTTTCACGTTTTTATTACCTACGCAGAATTGCGAAAAAATTTTGCAAAACGAACATCGTTCCGTGTTCTTAAGGTACAAATAGTAACTCATGCTCTATTCCTATTTGATTTTCGTATCGCTTTTAATTCTTGGATGATACAGAGCTAACTCTAGAATTCGGTGAAAGGAGAATATTGAACAATAAGGATGAGTCTTCAAAAAGGTTTCAGCCATCTTTGAGGTAGACGAGGACGTTGAAACGTTAGCCGAAAAGAGTATTTTATCAATCTCGTCTCAGCTCATCAGTGAAAAAGTATGTATTGAGGAAAGCTGCTGTTTCCTAGAGCGCGGCTAGCAAGCACTGTAGAACACCGAAGTTAATGTGCAGTGTTTGTTAGCCACAAATCTCGTTAGCTGTTACCAGTAAAGTTTACGTATATCTCACTATATCACGTAGTAAAACTTGAAAGTTAAGCACACTTAATAAGACTTTTAATTCCTCTAAACCATACTATCGCTGCTGTTCTTGCTGACTTGAGTTCCTTCAATAGATTGTCTCTGAGCATTGTCCTGCAGAGCACATGCTTAGCTTCGATTGTGGTGTAGTGGTTGGAGGCGCCACTGTGACACACACATGAAATCGATCCTCGTGCCCATGACCTACCAAGCCTTCCGTGCCTCCGGAGTCAGCACTTTGGTACCAGACTTGCTGCTGCGAGGATAGCGGCTCTGACTCGATACATCAGTAGGCCACCACGAGTCGTTCGATACTTAATGAAGTCGAATGCACGGCGCACCCCTCAGGGATTGATCAACGCCGAGAACTCTTAGAGCTTTTACTACGTTTTTCGCGAATTTATAACTTGTGTCAGAATTTGAAATAATGGAACGCACGAAATTCACTGAGAACTTTCAGCTGGTTGCCTACCAGAGGAGTTGACTGGGACTCGATAGCGGGAATGTTTTAGCATTATACATGCGGTTCCATTGGAATTCGTTCGCAATTGTACTAGTTCTGTAATGATTGAAAAATGGAAAGGAACACAGTGAAAGAAATAGGAACCCTATCTCAATCATACATCATCCCGTTTCCAAATTCACGCAATGTATCGGCGTTTGGTATCTATCAACTATTTAACAAAACAGGAGGAATGTCATCGATTTAATCGAATTTTAAACATTCACCACTTTTGACTGAGATCTACCATGTCGAAGATATAAGACTATTTGCTTCCAAAAACTCAAACAGAAAAAACAACATTTCCAGAAGAACAAGGACACATAGGAAAAATACGAGTACAGTGGCAAAACACCACTAGAGTAATAGCACTTCATTAGTTATGACACAGCCGCTGTCACCGGTCTATCCGCTCCCACTGTTCGCAGCGAACGCCGTAGGAGATTTTGAGGGCAAAGAAGAACTTTGTTCATAAACAGAATAACGGTACACCTTAAATCAAGTATCCTTGTGAGATTATATAAGAGTGGAAATACTAAGACACGGTTAGTTCTCCTAAATACTCACATGTTCAGCTCCCTCATCTCGAGTTTCTGCAACTCCCTCTTGGCTTGTATTCAAGAGTTTAGATCCCTGTAACAGAGAACTTTTAGTAGACTACAAAACACAATTCGGTATTAATCGTTATCATCCTCTCCGGGGTCTAACTTGCTCGCCACCACACTGTGCTGCTCCTTCGTTTAGCCTTTATCTCAACCGTACTTTAATCTATTTAATTAATCTAACATCATATCTTGCCATGAAATAAGAATACTCAGTAAATAAACAGCACCACATTGTGATCTATAGCACAGCTTCTGCTTAACTAGGTTCAATATTGACCCGCGCTCACCAGATCAATCCGCGGTTAATTGTTGACAGCACCTATAGGATAAAAGAAGGCTGAAAGAAAGTAGAAACGAAGGACCCTCATTGCGTGGTGGTGAATACGTTGACCCTTGGAAAGAGTGGCAGCGAGTTCGATCCCCACCGCAGACATCTGCCGTCCGAAGGTTTGGAAACACCTCAGCATCACTATTTTACAAAACAATATAAATCACTAACAGAGGCAAATGTTTTGGGAACTTTAAAACTAACCCGTAGTGGTGAAGAACCCAGAACGGGAATATTTGAAGTAGCCCGCTCCCCACTCTGCTTCTTATCTTGCTCCAGAACTGCTTGTCGATACTTCTAAACAACAGTGCTCAACACTTGTTCAAAGAAAGGTGAAATGAGAAAGAGGGAAAAANAAAAATTTAATCACCTCAGAGTTTCGACCTTTTGGTTTGCTCCTTAACGGTGGAGGTGGAGGGCTCTGAACTACTAAACTTAAATCCACGGAGGGAGAAAAAAACACTATTATCTAATATTGGTCCAAATACTTGTTTTTTTTGAAATTAAGAAACTAACTAATCAACTAACACGTTGGTCGACGGGGGTGTTGAATTTTCGATACTCCTGCCTTTTCGAACGCACTCGTTTTGAGAGGTGTTCCCAATTGCGTCGCGAACGAGATTTAATCTGAAACGGAAAATGTGCTATGGAAAGATACCGATGTTATAAGAAAACGAACGCTGTTAAAATATGATCACTAACATCTCTTTTTGGTTGTAGTTCTTCAAGAGAGATTTGCGTAACTAAATCTTTCAGCGCTTCGCCTACTTCATGAAGCAGTGACGTGTCATGGATAATAGATGAATCAACAAACTAGAAAGTTAAGGAATTACTAGCAACGAAAAGACAATGATTGCTTTTCTAAACAAGGAATAGAGCAATCAAACTAACTGTGGTTGCTTCTAATGGAAGTTCAATTGTAGGATCTTCTATAAACTTCAAAATTAGATCAAGGACTGGTAGCTCCCTTTGCCTTATTGCCACTTTTTCAGATATCTCCGCCTCTCGAATTGCTTGCTTCTGCTTGGCAAGTCTTCCACGGAATCTCTTTAAAGGACGACCAGCTTTCTATAAAAAAACGTGCGGCTTGAATCACATTATCTATAGCTTCAGGTACGAAAATTTGAACTTGCCTTACGCTCTTTTATGCATTGTTCGCTTGAATTCGAACATCCCGAAGGCGATTCAGAAGTAATGAGTTCCTTAATCGTTTTTTCTTCTATATCGTCTATTGCTTCGAAGTCAACAATTAGATTATCATCATTGTGTTTCTGTGATTCCACTCGCCGTCGACGCGCAGATCCCTGTGAATCCGTGTTTATACCTTTATTTCAGGTGAGATTCGCTTCTATAAACATCCGTTCTTATAGGATTGTAAACTATAGTTACAACACATCATGGTCTCAAATAATAGGTTCTCAGGAGCCAGTACTTTCAAGGTGAGATATCTCGGCTCATAATTTCATCAATCGATGTAAAAACTACTATAATATATGCACCTTTCTTTCAAAGACAATAAAGTTTGTTTCAACCGGCTGCACAAAATTCCAGACCTCAGGAGCACGAAGTCGATGAACACACCTTCGGCCTCGGCTCGTTTCGGAATCATCTTTCGCACAGCGAACTATAGAGATGCTTTAAGAAGTATCCGTTTGGCGAGAATGCTAGTTGAGGCAGTGTTTCGTAACAAGATGTAACGACACGCGTTATCGTGAAGAAGGGCAGCTGTCTCCGCCTTGACCAATGCGGGGCGCAGTCGCCGATGTCTCGGCTAAATCTCGTTGACTTCTTGTACGTACGTCGAGCTTTCTCGGTTTTCAAACCATCTTCAGTTCCCCGAAACAGTCGAGACGCTTAATCGAAGTGCTTCCGCTTAGCCCCTCTAGTCATCGCCATCAATAGTTGAAGGGCGTTCGTGATAATCCTCACCTTCGAGCTCGAATTTTCCATAATAAAATTTTTTGACAAGTTGCACTATCCACTCGTTAAAATTTTTTTTGGTCCCATATCTCATTAATATTTAAAGTCGTTGGCGCTGTGCACGCCAAATATGACTTCATAGAAATAGATTTCCGGAAATCGCTGTTACGATATCTTAAATTCTATCCTTTAAAATTTCCAGAAGTACAAATTATTATTCAACTAATGGGGGGAAAGCACATAAAAAGAGGATTCCAGTGATACGGTATAGTACAGCGTGTGAAAAAGATACTATTGCTAAAAGATAAAGAAGATAGGTGAAATTACAAATGCGATGTTAATTCTTTAAGAAACCCAATAAATTGTCGAATGAGATTTTATGATGACATATGCAACACTGAATTCTATAAGTTAAAAGGATAAAACTGCTTAACCTTCTGTTCAGGTACAAGAGTGCGGTTGACAGCACTTAAACGATACAATAGCTCTGGAGCGCGCTCAGAAGTGAAAAGAATGACACAGCTGTCAAAAAGTGATACAAGAATCGAAATAAAGTTACCTGTACACCTCTACGAGTGGCCACAGCGGGGTCACGATCGAGCAGCACGCTTCTTCTTGAACGCTTTTGACGCTTTGCTACGTTCTAAAAAAGGATGGTAATAGCAATACGCAATAGATTGTTAAATGATGCAAAAGAAATTAAAAACAATGCCTCGCATGTTCTTCCTGCTTTTAGCCCGTTGTCTAAAGGCGGTAATAACACTTTCGTGTATATAACAAATAACGCTGATGCTACGCTGCTAATAAAAAATTTTTCACGATAATTACATTGTCACCAACTGGGTACAGCCGGTAGTTCCTTTTACTTTTCGTTTTCGGTAGCGTTGTGGAGCTAAAACTTCTTTAAAACGAAACAAAGAAAACTTTGACACTTTTCGAGAACAAGTAACAAATAACTCACCGAATTCCGACGTTGATGAGCACCTTCGCACTTCGATGTTGATATATAGGGATTCCAAGATGTTAGGAATGCTTGAGACCGTGTCCACTGACCTACGCGCCTTCCTCCTATGTTCCCACATTTGCCAGCTACCGACTGCACATCCCACAGAGTTCCGGCTATCGGAGATCGAGGCCTATGTCGTTTAGTACCTACACTCGTCTCCGTGGTAATTCGGCCCACCTGGGAAATAAGGTTGTTCTGAGATGGGTTCCTTGTAAGTAATGTTCCATCCTGCAATCTTTTGAATCGACGTAAGCGGCCGTATTCATCTCTCACAACAGTGAACTGTTTCTCGGATTTTGAAGTGGACGTAGCACAGGACCCTAGCGTACCTTGGACATTTCTTGGATAGCTATTTTTATCTGAACACTGGGAATCGCCCTTGTTAATGAACGACGAAGACCACTTCTTCAGATGGTGGACACTATCCTGGTTCTCATCAAATATTTCCGTAGTAAAACCAGAAGTAGACATGCTATCTAAAGCAGAATTATCCAAAAATCGTTCAGAAGTACATGCCCCATCGTCTAGACCAGATACTGAGTTTGCATCAACTGTACGTGCAACCGGCCTTCCAATTTTCACTGCTTGATGGTAATTCGAAGTTGGTGCTCCACGGTGTTCAGACGAACGGTTACGATGATAAGCATGATCATAACAACCTATGGACGAAGCAGTAGTATTTACTGCATTTCCTATCAGCAAATGTGGCCCTCGCATAACCTCTGTACCAGACACATTTGATAATAGCGGTGGTCTAATTAGACCAGAATTAAGCGGTGAACTTTGTAATGTAGACGACGTTGCTTGTGATGAAGTAGTAGTAAACTGGGTTGTTCGATCGATCCTCGATACTCGTGTTCCATGTTGACGACCATTACCTGTCCAGTTATACAAACTTTCTCCTTTCCTTGTCGAATCTGCCATCTCACAGTGGCTATGGAACGTTGGCCATTGCACATACCTAAGTTGCAAAACAAAGCAGTCATAATCTACCCACTTTAAAGAATATTTACCGTTGGTGTTCAGTGGTTTCAAAATGCGGTCCACACAACTCATCCAATGAAACTAAACAACGATCTACTGCGGGGTCTATTGCTGGCTGAAACTTATCGAATGAGTACTCCACACAAACATCTCTAATGAAGCGTACCTCAATAGTTCTGTTAGCCAATTCTCCATGTAATGAATGACATGGCTGCGATTTCGTTTTAGACCGTAAAATTTGAACATGATGTGGAGGAAGTGCATTTTCAGATTGGTTTACTGGTCCTTCGAACATAATCACCGGTCTGCTATCGTATTGTATAGAATGATTCGTCTCTACTTCCCATTCGGATGAGGAATTGTGAGCGATATGATGCACTCCATAAGTACCCAGAACAGCTTCTATTTCGCGAGGTGCTCCTGTTTGACTAACATCTGACTGCAAATACTGCTGTGCGAAATCTTGATGAACAGCAGAGACATACTGCTGAGTTTCTACAGCATTCCATAACATGTCATTAATTACAACCTCATTAGCTACTACGTGCAGACTTTCATGTAGATTGCTTCCTGTTTCCATATAGGTTTGCGCATTAGTAGGAAGACACACTTCTTCAGCATAGTCCAACTGCTACAATGAGCACGTTCGTAATAACATCATGAAATTTTAGAAAACTTGAAAACCCACGAACATACCTGCCCCATATTTCTCAGATCATGAAATTGATATGCATCTTCGTATACCACGTCTGACAGCGGGTGTACCCATTCCTTGTCAGATGTAACCATATACTGTGGAAGTACTGGATTTCCTACGAACTCTGTACTACTGCTAGGATCAACGTGTTCACCGTAGTATCCGTGAGCCTCATCACACTCCACACGTCCTCCAGAACGAATATTAGGATTATGGGACATACTGAAAACAAAAACACCAGGCTGCTGCTAAGTATTTTCACGACTTCTTTAACGTTTGAAATGGGAAATAACATCGTCCAAATATGAATAAAATTGGGAAAAAATCCGAAAATTACCGCGATTTATGCCCGTTATCGTAAAGGAAGCTTATAAAACTAGTCTGAGCAGCAACTACGATTTAAAGGAAACAATTCAGCAAAAGGGTTGCTAAGGAAAAAGGTCGGCTAATTTCAGCAAAATAACAACCAAATCGAAGTCACAAAAGCAGCAAATGCGAAAAAAAACCTATGGTGCCAAACTAGGCGACATAATGTCTTACTTTGTTGGATGCTTGGATGGCCTGCGTTCACAAGTTGTGCGGACCCCAGAACTTTTGCCATTCGTTTCTTTCCCTCGCAATCGTTGTCCATGTTGGTGGTTTTACTGGAGCATGGTAGCGCGTGCGAGTCTCATACAGTGATCTGTAAAATAATTGCAGCTGCTGATAAACCTGATTAAGTTTGTTTACGAACACGTTCGCCCAACGTGTAGATGACCGCGTCCTAGTGGATTACATTCTCGTAGAATGCACTCTACAGTTCTTTCCGTCTATCTGTCGTCTGTTCTTCCCATTATGAGGGCGGCCCATCTATATTTTGCAATCGATGTATATTCCCTTGCATCTCGAAGATGTGACAGAATTCGAGGATCAGAGTTTCGCATTTCGGCTGGATATTGACAGTGCCGGTTATATTTCAGAAGACACGGCTCAAGTGCTCTGTGAGTAGTACGGAGCATTCTTTACGTCGTTGAAGTATCAGCCCACGCCTCTTCAGCATAACAGAGCGCAAGGAGGACCGTTGAATCGAAAAGGTGAGCGCGGATTTTCGGATCCTTCAATTGATCGGTGGCTTCTTTGAAAGGCCCGAATGTGGCCCAATCTGCTCTCCTTCTTCCATCTAGTTCCTACTTCATGTTGTTTTCCATGTTCATTGACCGCCCAAGGTATACTTACGAGGTGCTCTCTGCAATCATAGAGCCATCCAGTTTAATTTTTTTTTCGATTTCACACCGCGGGTTTTTCATGAACTGGGTCTTCTTCCGATTTATGCGCAGTCCGATCATTTTTCTAACTTCATTGAGCTCCTTGATCATCGTCTTTGCTTCGCCAGTACTTCTTCAAAAGATGACGATGTCGTCGACAAAACGAGAGTTTGGTAGGGATATTCCATCAATATGCCTTTCTCCACCTAATCGTGTGACTTCATTATCCAGTGCCGCATTGAACAGCCGTGGATATATTGTGTTGCTCTGTTAAACCTCTTTTCCTATGGGTGTGGTAAGAGGTTGATGGAAAAGCTGTATTTTCGTGCTGTATTTTCGTGCTGTATTTTCGTAGTGCTGCTCCGATAACAGTCAGATAGAGTTCTTATGTAGGACGTGTCCACTCCTTGGTCGACGAGAGCTGATAGGCTTGCATTCGTTTCGACACTACCAAACGCTTGGCAAAGGTTAGGAATAGAAGCAAACGGTATTCCCAACACACTTCGATGACCTTCGACACAGTTTGGATGTGGTCTATGCAGCAAAATTCTTGTCGAAATCCTACTTGCTCGACTAGTTGCGTTTCATCCAATGTACTTGATATGCGCGAGAGAATAATCCTCGTGAAGAGCTTGTAGAGCGCACTCAACAAGCATATCGGACGATAGCTACGAAGATCCCTTCGGTCTCCTTTCTTGGGCAGGATGACCGTGCGCGACGTCTTCCATTGGTCTGAGATTTTTTCCTTTTGAAGGAAGGCTGTCATACCATTTGCGAGAAGTACATGTAAATTGTGGCTTCTAGCTCTAAGGAAGTCGACGGTAGTATTATCGGGTCCTGGAGCTGTGCTTCTTTTCACGCTTTCTATCGCAACTCAAACCTCCGACGAAAGAATTCTAGGTGGGTTTTTCTCCAGCGAGGATATTAGGGTCTGAGACGGGAACTGTGGGACGGATAAAGCTAGTGCAGAACGTTTCCGTTATTAATTTCATACCATGGCGTTAAGTTTTGACGATTCCACTTCTGTAATGCTGAGATATTCGCAAGACTTCGGACCGCAGATGTCTGCGGTGGGGAACGAACGCGCTATTGTCCTTTCCGTGGAGTAACGCGTTCACCACCACACCATACAGGTCCTTCGTTTCGCCTGTCTCTCAGCTATTTTTATCGATCCCGTTGACGAGTGATTGCTGATAAAAAAAGATAAAATGCTCCTATCTCTAAGAAATGACACGAAGCACGGCCATCAAACACTATTTTAAAGCAGTACAATCCGTCCGGACCAACATTAGGCTCACTGGGCATACCGAAAACACAAATATAATACTAGATTTGTGATTAGACTAGTTATTTGTTTATTGATTAGTGGTAACGAGGTTAAAGGAGAGTCCATTTTCAAATACGGTTACGCTCATTCCTAGCTGACAATGATCCCGACTTCTACAGGACCGATTGGCCGGAAAAACAAATTGTTGTCACCGGACAATCACTACTGTCAACAGCTAGCAACCTGTATAAAAGAGCATCGCCGAGTGGGTATGGCTCATTTGAGAGAGATGCTCCACTGATGAAGACCAGGTTCGATGCGCGACGAAGACTCCACCTCGAGAATACGAACAACTGTGAACCTTTGGCTCAGACCATTGGCTCTGATGGAGACGAAACCATCGAAACGTTAGCCGATGAAAAATATTATTCACCATCCTCGTGTAAACTCATTAAAGAAAGAATATATATAATGCTAGAACGCTGCTGAGTAGTTCAACGACTCTTTCAACGTTTACGTGGGAATGACATCATCAAAATACGGACGAAGTTGAAAAAAAAACTCGGCAGCTATCGTGAATTATGACCGTCGCCGTGAAGAAACCTTGTAAAAATAGTTACCTCAAAAAACAAAAACGGAAATGAGAAATCCAGTAAAAAGAGTTGAAAAGGAAAGCTGTCAGCTATTCCAGTAGAATAACAACCAAGTGGAAATCCGCAAAAGCAACAGTTGCGAGAATTTCAGAAGTGCTTCAGATTTATGGAATATTCGCAACATATCATAATAAAATGTGCTTGTCTCAAAAAATTAACACGAAAAACGGCTTTCAAACATTATTACTAGATAAAACAATAGGAAGTTTGAAGTGAATCAGGGTGAAAAGTTACCGCGTTGCGCACGCATTAGGTCATCACAAATAGCAATTGGAGCACGATTTGTTCAACACGATCAATTATTTGCAATTGTGCTATCAATTATCGAATTGGTACATCTTTCCACCTTATCTATAAAATGAAATTTGCCTAATAATTATGGTTTTGCTGTAAACATCTAACATCTACCATCTTGAATCTCCAGCCGGCAGCATTACCTGTTGTACGCGCCAACGTATTCAAGTGCTGGTTCGATCCCTTACCGTGTCCACTAAACTTCTCTCCTCTAGGGGCCGAGAAATTGGTACTGGGCTCACCTGATTGAAGCTTACCCCTTCTAATCTAGCTGGGTGTCTTAGCTCACCTATCTCAGTATTCCAAGGAGAATCGACTTGATCAGTTTTCAACGACACTCGTAAAGAAGATAAAAAATATACAAGCAAAAGCTAAAGCAACAAGCAAAAAAGTTTAAACACGTTCATAAATTGTGGTCGCAGAAAAGGAATAGAAAGCAACAAGCACTTGGATCCACAAATTATGATGCATGTGATGATGAGTGATGTAATAATTAAGAAAACTATTGCGGCATACTTACTTACTTGATACTTGAACGACCTGTACCCACTAGTTGTGCGAACTCCAGCATAATCACAATTTTCGGAGATTTAATGGTTAAGCTATCGTGGTTCCCTGGAAACCCGAGGATAGCCTGGCCAAAGTCTGCCCTAGGTCGTCACCACAACGGACAGTCGCAGCCCTTGTGGATCAGAGAAATATTTGCCACCAGGTCACTGCGAGTCATTGTAACGGCCAGATATGCATTCAATCACCTCCAACTGTACTAAATGTAGTCGAAGGCTTGGCGCATCCCTCTGGGATGGATCAATGCCGATCGTGTTGAACAAATCGTGCTCCAATTGCTATTTGTGATGACCTAATGCGTGCGCAACGCGGTAACTTTTCACCCTGA